GGGATTTAGCTCAGTGGTTTTGCTGCCTGCTGCGCAAGTGCAAGGACCCAAGATCAATCCCCGGTACCAAAAAAAAAAAGAACAAGAGCAAGATAGATATCCAGACGTCCCCTGATAGGCTACACTGGGGAAAATAGTGCCCAGAGGATTTAAGTGATGTACAAAGATGTTAAATCAGTAATGGTAGCTAAAATGAATATGTTAGCTAATTTTTGTAACTTTAAGAAGTAGTATTTTTTTCAGATACAAATTTCTAAGTAAAAACTGGTTGTGAACTCCAGAATTCATTTTCAACTAAAATCCTTAGGGTTGGTCTTTAATCTCATTTTCAACAAAAAATTTCACTGTCTCCAGCCCACAAAACCCTTTTCAATGATCTATTCCAGATTGAAACAAAAAGTTCACTAGCATTTTCCTTATTCATCTTTGTTGGTCCATGAAATTGTTAGACTTGAAAGGATCAAAAGATGAAAATAAAATGAAAGCACTTAGGGTTCATAATTAGGACAGGCATCCTCAAAGTTGGATTTGATCCAGTTGCAGATAAGGAGAAAAGGTAATAAAAGCTTGGGCTTTGAGTGACAAAAGATAAATCTCAGTAGGGCTCTCGAGAAATCAGATGGTACTAACTGTAGTTGAGATGTACTGGTTAGACAGAGCCCTTGTTTTTGTTAGGAAGTGCTTTATTAAATGACTTCAGTCTGTCCTGTGACAGTTTTTCTACTTTACTCAGGTGATAACTGAGAAGATAACTTTTTATGTAAAAGGCTAAAGACCACTCTGAGCAATTGTTGAATGATTATCTTTCCCACTTGCCCTGTCTTCTTTTATTTTTATTTTTTTTATAGATTCTCCAGTAATAGCACTCTGAAGCCTGTGTAGTAATTCCTTAGAAGTAGAAAGCGCATGTATTTCCTGTGTTTATTTGCTTTCATCTGTAACCAAATTTGGACAAGGACCAATTTGGAGGAGGATAGACAGCTAATCTTTGGGACTGGGATTTAGCTCAGTGGTTTCGCCACCTGCTGCGCAAGTGCAAGGACCCAAGTTCAATCCCGGTACCAAAAACAAAAAACAAACGACAGCTAATCTCAGAAGTATTGTCCTGGTAATTACTTTTCACACTGATCAAAACAGCCATACTTAACACATCTTGTCCAACAATGGATCCTCCTTAGATAGGTGAAGTAGATTAACTTGCCCATATTTGCTAGGTCATTGTTACTTTTGGGTACTGGGTATCAAACTTGGGACCTTGTGCTTGCAAGGCAGGCACTGGAACCACTGAGCTAAATCCTCGGCCCTATCTCACACATTTTTAATCATACATTTGTATTTGGTAAGGCTTTTATTTTGGGGGAGTGGATTTTGCAACTCAGCTACTGCATGTTTATCTTCAGGCTAGTAGATTATATTATCCTTTGGAAGTCTCTAAAGCACATTTTAATTCTAGGGAGTAATCGATTCTGAAAGAATGGATTTTGAGCTGTTGCCAGATGATGAGCGACAATGTATAAAATGCAAAACTACATGCTTCATGTCTGCCATCTCCTGTTCTTGTAAACCTGGCCTGCTTGTCTGCCTGCACCATGTAAAAGAACTGTGTTCCTGCGCTCCTTATAAATACAAACTTCAGTAAGTAGGAAGAATATCTTTTTCTATGGACAGTACCTGAGTCTTTACTAAATGCTCAGTGACATCCCTCTTGCAGGGCTGAGATGTTAAGTAAGACATTTCGTTTTCTCCAAAGCCACATGTCTCAGAGGTGTCTCGTGTTGTCTCTCCAGGTATAGATACACTCTAGATGATCTCTACCCCATGATGAATGCATTGAAGCTTCGAGCAGAATCTTACAATGAATGGGCCTTGAATGTGAATGAAGCTTTGGAGGCAAAGATCAACAAGAAGAAAAGTACATGTTACAAAAGTATTACTTACTGAACAGCAAATTTAGGCTGATTGTGATGCAGCCAGCCTAGAGTCACAGAACAGATGGCCGAAACAGCCTGATTTCATCCTTGGTTTGTCTTCTCTGTTAGGAGGAGATTTCTAGAGCACTGGCAGAGAATTTAAAACTATGAGTGGATGAGGCAGAATAACCTTTTATACCCCCCTTTCTCAGCATTTTACATTTCATATGAACCTTAGAAAAACTTTACATATACATATACATATATATATATATATATATATATTTAAATCTTGCAGAAATGCAGCATACCATTAAAATAAGGAATCTCTGAAATGTTCGCTTATTATTTCTTAATTTTAGACAAAGTTAAGGTCCACTGCACTTCTTAGTACCTTTGAAAGTCACTGTTGTACTTCCTGTCACTTGCAAAATGTATCACTTGCTTTCATTTCTGTAGTTCAGCAAGTAACCTTCCCTTTCATTTAGGGAAAGGGAGCAATATCCCTGACTGACCGGTTACTTGCCAACTGCAGAATAAATTGAGGGAGGAAGAATTGGGCCAAGCCCCAATAAGATCTCTATTTGATTTTATAAATTGCTTTCTCTTTTTTGTGTATCTTAAGCCCATCAAGCCTTAACATTTCCATACTGAAAACCAGCACTGGGCTTTTTTTCTTATTAGACAGGGCCTTGCTGTGTAGTTCAGGCTGACCTTGAACTCACCATGTAGCCCAGGCTATGCTCAAACTCTTGGCGATCATCCTGCCTTAGCCTCCCGAGTGCTGGGATGACAGGCATGTTCCACCATCCCCAGCTGGGCATTTGTTTTAAAAACTTCTTGCCCAGCCATTCCCTCCCCCAAAATCAGTTGAACAAATTTATTAATGATTTAAACATTGCCATAGTTTTTGTTATGTGTATAGATAGGAGGTTGCGGTCTTCTGTTCTCACTTGTATAACGGTAATAGTAAACAATGATCACACAAAAGGTGACTTTTTTCTTTATTCCTAGGCCTTATTAATTTCAAGGCTTTAATTGAAGAATCGGAAATGAAGAAATTCCCAGACAATGATCTTTTACGTCACCTTCGCTTAGTCACACAGGATGCAGAGAAGTGTGCCTCTGTTGCCCAGCAGTTGCTTAATGGCAAAAGACAGACGAGGTGTGTACTTCTGACTGAGTCTGGGCTCTTTGGCAGCTACACTTGGAAACCTGTTGTGGTTGGATTTTCTTTCTGCTGTGGAATCCTGTGATACTGCAACCTGTGAGTGGTGAACATGTATGATATCATAGCTTCTTTGGGTCCTTCTTTTACAGATACCGATCTGGTGGAGGAAAATCCCAAAATCAGTTGACAGTGAACGAACTCCGACAGTTTGTGACACAGTTGTATGCTCTTCCTTGTGTCCTCAGTCAAACACCATTGCTAAAGGTAACCATAGCAAGATATGTGGGAGTACTTTGATGATCCTATATTTTGTAAATAAACTAAATTGACATTATTGAGTACTCTTCTTTAGTTACTAATTTATTTCCAGAAGGTTTTTTTTGGTTTTGTTTTTTGGTAAATTATTATTATTATTATTATTTTCTTTTGTGGTACTGGGGATCAAACTCAGGACCTTGCGCTTGCCAGGCAGGCGCAGTCCCACTGAGCTGCATCCCCGGCCCTTCCCAGAAGTTTTTTTAACATTGGGTTGTGAGTGTATAAAGAGTTTATAATAGGCCAACATAGGAAAGTTGGAAATTTTTACTTTATTATTAGTCTCTTGTAAATTAGCTGTAATTTGGGCTATGCGTTACCTTTTTTGTTTGTTTGTTTTCCTTTAGGATCTCTTGAATCGTGTGGAAGATTTCCAGCAGCATAGCCAGAAACTACTCTCTGACGAAATGCCTAGTGCTGCTGAGCTGCAGGACTTGCTAGACATCAGCTTTGAATTTGATGTTGAACTTCCACAGCTTGCTGAGATGCGAACTCGTCTGGAGCAGGCCCGTTGGCTGGAAGAGGTGCAGCAAGCTTGCCTGGACCCCAGCTCCCTTACTTTAGATGATATGAGACGTCTCATAGACCTTGGGGTAGGGCTCGCTCCATACTCAGCGGTGGAGAAAGCCATGGCCCGGCTGCAAGAACTGCTTACAGTGTCAGAGCACTGGGATGACAAAGCCAAGAGTCTTCTCAAGGCCAGGTACAAAAGCAAACTTCGCATCTTTCTCTTGGGGCAATTGGACAAGAGTTCTGTGTTAGAGCATAGAGCACAGTGATTTAGAAGTGTCCAGTCACTCCAGTTGTGCCTATGGAATACATGCATGAATAGCCAAGATAATTTGGGTCTGCTTTGGATTGTGGGTAAAAACATTTAATATTTTTCTTCTTTTACTGACTCTGAAATGAATGATTCAAATGGCCATGCCTTTTCTACAGATAATGGTTTAATGAAATTTCCCTAGACCCCCGTGATATTTATTATCTTTAGGAGAAGAAAGTTTACAAATATATGGAACTGTTTAAAACCACAGTTAATAAATGAGATTCTAAGCCTTAAAGAGTGATGTCTCAGAGTTAACATAACATGTACAGTTCTGTAAAATGAAGATAATGCAGATTTTCAGCAGAAACAGGGCTGTACATTTGTGCTCTTGATTAGCAAATCAGAATACTTTATCTCTTTGAGAGATTAGATTGGATGTAGGCTAGCCATCTGAGGCAGAGGAGAGAACGAAATCTTTTCTTTTTTTCCCCCCGTACCGGGGATCGAACTCAGGACCTTGTGCTTGCAAGGCAGGTGTGTCACCACTGAACTACATCCCTGGCCCGACAAAACCCTTTTTTAATCCTGGTTTCTGGTGACAGATCTTAATTGGTCCAGATGACAGCATAAAGCACAAAAGTACTGGGTTATATATAGATGTTCATTTGTAATCCTAAAATAGTGGTCGTTGAGCAGAGAGGTTGCAGAAATTCTGGGCATTGTTCTTTTAATTTTTTTAGTGAAACTATATGTATATACATGAGTTTTGACACTGTATCTAGTTTTACATAGAAGAAATTATTGATCAGTGATTTAGTTTACCTCTGTAAACCAAACTTTGAGCTTATGCCATCATAAAATCAGGAGCAAGTAGATCTTAAATACTTCACTGAGTCATTTGCTCTCTTATTTGCTCCTAAATCTTATTTGAATCTAGTTATTTTGATAGTTGAGTGCCATTTGGTCTACTGAATTTATTCTGCAGTGATTTTTCTAGTCTTTTTGTTAAAATCATATGAGAAGTGAACCATCACATAAAATGCCAAGAAACCCTTGTGTTTCATTTTTATAGACCACGACATTCGTTGAGCAGCCTTGCTACAGCAGTAAAGGAGATTGAGGAGATCCCTGCGTATCTGCCCAATGGTGCAGCCTTGAAAGATTCAGTGCAGAGAGCCAGAGACTGGCTTCAGGATGTGGAGGCCTTGCAGGTTGGTTAAAGAAAGTCCTGAATGTATCAGTCAGTTTCTGAAGAGCAATACAGTAATTAAAAAGTTTGTAAAGGATATTTGGATCTGATCTCGGTGCACAGATTCAGTATGTTTGGAGTTGACCAGAGTATTCTATCAGGCCTTTTTGGTTGTGCTTACCAGCTATTACCTGGCAAGTTGACTAAGATAATTAAGGCATTCAACCAACTTTTTCTGAATACTAGGGAGTCCTTTGTATGAAACTTACGTACATGGTTACAATTAAAGGGAAAAAAGCTAAAAAGGCAGTTGAGAGAGAAGGTGTAGGTGTAACTCTTTGTTAATAGGTATGGTTACCTATTACTGGCTTGTCAAAAGCATTGGAGCACAGATAATCCGGAATAGTAGAGTGAGTCAGTCAGTCTGGTTATATTGTAACATGGCCAAAGTAGGCCCCTAGTACCTGGAATTTTTTCAAGTCATGACTTAAAAGTACCCTGTCAACCATATTAAAAAAAGGGGCCCAGGGGCCAGGGATTTAGCTCAGTGGTTTCGCCACCTGCTGCGCAAGCGCAAGGACCCGACTTCGATCTCTGGTACCAAAAGGGGCGTGGGAGGGGTCGGTACAAAAAAATTATCCAAAGTAATTATCTTCAAATATTTTGTGGCCTTTTGCTAGATGTTATATTTATTTGACTTACATATAACTTTAAGGAAAACTGTTCACTTATAGCATAATTAAGGTACAGAAAAAAATGCCTTCTATGATTTAGCCAGTTCTTAGCTGGATAACTTAATTTGAAAAGTGGTTGGTGGGAAAAAAAGTATCTTCCTTTACCTCTAATCATTGTAAACCAATAGGTGTTACTGGCTTATACAGTTTTGTTTTGTTGAATCCTTTAGATTCTAGAATAAAATACTAATCTGCTTTTCTGAATATTTGTGTACATTTAAGTGGTGCTAATTAGCCACTTGCTAGCAAGAAACACCAAACAGGACTGTTGTAGACAAGTGTTTATAACAAAACATTTGGGGCCAGGGATTTAGCTCAGTGGTTCCGCCACCTACCTCGCAAGCGCAAGGTCCCGAGTTCGATCCCCGGTACCAAAAAAACTATATATATATATATATTTGGACATCTAGCAAATAGGGAAAGATTGAGGAGATTATATAATTAAAGGGTGACCCTAGCAAGCCAAAGAAATGCAAAGAAAAGTTTTTACTATGCATGTAGACTTCGTTAATGGGCATTTTAGTTGCAGCCTTTTGTCAGTGATTGTTGGTACTCTAGTAATTAGTTTTAGTTACAGTCCTTATTTTCACTCAGTGATTGGTAGCAGTCACAAGGTGAGATCATTGCAGTAAGGAGAAAAACGTTGGTAGCCCATACAGTCAGAAAGCAAAGGGATGCGTGCTTTTGGGTAGATTTAGTCCTTTCATTTGTCTTACATCAGTGCTCTTAAGGCAAAAAGTAAGTTTTGCTCTATTGCTGAAAAAGTAGCCTAGTGGGCTGGAGATTTAGCTCAGTGGCACCACACCTGCCTCTCAAGCATAAGGTTCGATCCCTGGTACTGCTAAAAAAAAAAGCCTTTAAGTTTTTCTTTCATCATATTTAAGGACAAATAAATGTAACTAACAGGAACCAACTTCATATTTACTGGATTATTTATTTTAAAATGTTACCCAGGATTATTTTTAAACGTTACCTAGTATTTTTCTACTTTTAAGTATCCTGTACCAGCACGATTAGCAGCAGCAGCATCACCTGGGGACTTGTTAGAAATGCAAATCTATGGACCCTCTCTGACCTACTGAATCCGATTATCTGAGGATGGGACTCAAGAAGCTTGTGTTTAAACAAGCTTTCCAGATAATTCCTGTACATGCTAAAGTTTAAGAACTGGGCTTTCTCAACTCATATTTTAGTTTTATGTATAATTTATACTGAGTAATGGTAATTCATGGTTGGTGAGTGGATTAGAATAAAGTATTCTTTTGCTGCTTTTTAAAATGTAAGTTAAATTATCAGTTATTCGTTTTAATCATTTTAATCCTTATTTACACTTTCAGTTTCTCACACTAGAGAAACTGTTCGGTATTTACACATGTGTGTCCTATTTATTTCACTTAAGAGGATGGCCTCAGTATGCATCCATTTAGCTATAAATGTCTCTAATTTCTTGTTCTTTATGGCTGAGTAGTACTCCATTTTATAAAAAAAACCACATCTTCTTTATCCAGTTTCCAGTTGATGGGCACTTC